GTCCTGGAGGAAGTGCAGCCAGAATGCTCCTAGGAAATGAGAATGGCCAGACTTCGTCTCACCTACTTTGGTCATGTGGTCAGAAGAGACCAGTCCCTGGAGAAGAATGTCATGCTCGGTAAAGTAGAGGGCCAGCGACAAAGGGGAAGGCGCACAATGAGATGAACTGACACGGGCTGCGACAGTGGGCTCCGGCAGAGCTGCGATTGCAGGGATGGTATGGGGCGGGGCAGCGTTTGGCTCCGTCGCACACAGGGTCACTATGAGGCAGAACCGACTGAACAGCACTGAACGGATTATCCGAAGTACATCTCCAGGCCTTTCCTCCTAGTCTGTCTTAGTCTGGAAGCCCTGCTGAAACGTGTCCACCTTGGGTGACCCTGCTGGGATTTGAAACACCAGGGGCATAGCCTCCAGCTTCACAGCAACATGCAAGCCGCCACAGTACAACAAAAGGACAGATGGTTGGTGGTTTGGATGAGTGGGGTTGAAAAAAGGGCTTAAATGAGAAACATTAGGATCACACGGCAGCAGGCCTCCCCTGTGCTTCCAGTTTTCCAGGGCATTCTGCTGTGTGGCAACCGTACTGTTTCCTTTGCCCTCCAACTTCCCTTTGGGTCTTTCAGTGAAGCTCTTCCGCACGAAGGGAACTTGGGCATAGCCTGCAGTAGGGACCCCTCTGCATGCCTCCCTTCCAGGGCAAACTGAGAGGCAGCTTTCTTCTCTTCTTGCCTTCTTGAAAGTTGCATTTTCTTTGTGAGAATCTCACAAACCCTTTGAGTAGGAAGATGTCAAGCTCACAGAGCTTGAGGTGGGCTAGACAAATGTTTGTCCACTGACTGCACAAATGAAGAGACTGTTTCCCTCAAGGTCTCTCTTATCACAGTTTGGAATTGAGTTTCTCATGGACTCTGCACTCCGGGGAGGGTCCTATGAAAGAAGACCGGTCTCATAGCAGTGTTCACTGGAGATGTTATGTGACCCACGTACAGCTTCAAAAATGGTGGAAACCCAAAAAGTGGTCTTTCATTTCTGACCATCAGCATTCTCTCAACCACTGTAGGCCAGCACCTCCCTACCAGCCACCACCAAGCCACGCCCAGGAGAACAAGCTGCCCAGTCATGGGCTCCCATCTCAGCTTGCCCACCTTTTCAGGGCGCTCTGTAAAGCCACCTACGAAAAGTGCAAACACATAGACCCGTGTGCCTAGGAAATGCAACTGAACTTCCTGGCTTCTTTTTCCAAATCAGAGTTATTTCTTATTTATTTACCTATTCATATTTATACTAGTCACACTTCAGAAGAGAAAACAGAAGTTTAAGTTACCTTTGAATTATTTCCCTTTTCAAAGGACATTGGGGGTTTAAGATTTGGTAGCTCAAGAAGCTTCAGCAACTGGGGCACAGTCTGGTGTACATCCTGCCCCAACTCAAGCCCCCAGCCCAGCCCAGGCCTGGCCACATTGCACAAGGGCTGCTGGGAGAAGTTAAGAGAGCACATACCTCAAGCACCCAAAGGCCTTTTATTGAAAACACCAAATCAAACTCACTGCTGTCTAGTCAATTCTAACTCATAGTGACCCTCTTTGGGCAATCTACTTCCAAGAGATACTGCCTTAGAAACCAAAGGAGGGGTCACTATGAGTTGGATCAACTCAACGGCAGTGAGTTTTTTTTTTT